GTTGATTTAAAACATATGCATGTTCTTCTAATAATGATATATCTCTACAATATAAAGATTTGATTATTTATTTTTTTAATTTATTTATTAATTAAATAAATAATACGCTTTTATTTGTGTTAAATCTTGAAAAATTTGCATATCTTCATTATTTTCCGGTTTTTGATCAATATTTGAAATTGAAAAAGGTTTTATTGTAACATTATTTAAAGTTGCTGAACCAATAGAAGCTGATGATATTAATGAAGAAAATAAATATTGAGCTTTAACTAATTCACCACGAAAATATTCAATACAATAAACAAGATTTTGAGGATGATGACTTAATATATTTGATACACTTCCTTTCGAACTTATTGATGCTCTAAATTTAATAAATTTTTATTTTTTTTAAATGGATAAATAAATGAAATAAAAAGAAAAAATGCAATGCAAACCTTTTTCCTGTTTCATTAGCTAATTTATAAATAAAATCAGTTATTTTATTCAATAATAGATGTTTTAATTTAAAAAAATCATCTCGAGTTGTTGCAACAGAATTCATTGTTTCTAATAAACATTTTAAACGAGAAAGATTTTCTTGAATTTCTCCAAACATCTAACAAATAAATAAAAAAAAACAAAATAATATTCTTTTTTCCTTGTTAAATAAAAAAAAAAAAACTTTGTCAAGATCATATTTGGTAACTTCATGTATATCATGGACAGATGATTTCCTTGATGGTTGATGAATCGATACTCTAGCAATAGATGGATGATTTTGAGAAGAACTTTCATGATGATTTGTTGTTGCTTGTAAATTATAAGTTTTTTGAACAAGTTCTAATGATTTATCGATATTTCGAGCAGTTGATGACATAACAAACATAAGACATTTAATATAATAATATTAAAAAAAGTAAATTTTCTGGTTTTTTTTTTAATTTGAAATAAAAACCATTGAAGAATTCCCGTGAGACCAATTAATGATATAGTTCACCTCTCGAATATAGATAATAATCGTTAATCATCAACATTTTTTTTTTCTTCTCCTTGTTCTTGCCTTGAGTTTTCTTTTGATGATGAAAAAAAGAAAAAAAAAAAGAATCTAGAAGAGAACATCTCAGTCTTGTACTCAACCAATCCTTTTTATTAAAATAGTCGAAATAGGAAAAAAAACCGAGAAAGACAGAGAAGAATTTTCTCAATTTTCACAATGTCCTTTTCTTTCTTCCATGAACATCCTGTTTGCCATTTTTGTCTCATGACGAATGACAATGAAATGTTAAAAGAAATGTGTTAATTTTTTTCTTAAAACATTTTCTTTCCTTTTTTTTTTTGTTTATATATGAACAAAATACAAAAATGTATTTTTTTTTAAAGTTGTTGAAATCAAGTATTTAACTAATTCATATTGATGAATTAATCAAAATATTTTTAAAAAGAAACAACTAAAATAAATAAAATTCATAGTCGATTATCATTTGTGTCAATAGAAGTAGAAGAAAAAGAAGAAAAGAAAAGAAAAGAAAAAAAATTAATTCTTACTTTAACTTGTTGAATGCTCGACGGATTTTATTCAGCTATTTTTTGTTTTCTTTTATTATATTAATGTTGCCAATAAGACTATTGCTCTTATCATTCAATTAATTTATTGTTTTTAATCGAAATCATATGAATAGATATTTGATTTTTACCAAACATTTATTATAGTACATGTTAAGTAAGAAAAAAAGGATAATGAAAGTTTAGAAAAAAAAACAACAAATAAGATAATGTGTTAGAGATTATTATTTTATCTTATGAGATGATGACATAAATAAGATAACATTTATCAGGAAACAACTATTAGAAGAATATTTTTTTATTTTAATAAATTATTTAATTATTTTAATATAAATAACAGTTTTGTTTTTTTTTGTTTGTTTATAATATATATTCGAAAATTCAAACATGTGTATGTATAGTATAACAAAAACCGATATACTAATTTAGATAATGATAATATAAAAATAAATTTGTTTTTTAAACATATACTATTTATTTTATATTGTTATTTTCATTTTTTGTTTTTATTTTAACTTATTTCTTTTTCTTCTTCTTTTCATAAACATTATTACTTATTGATTAAAAAGTTTTAATAAAAAAATAAAATAAAATTCTTATTTTAATATTTTGAATTTTGTTTCGAGAAATGAAAATCGAGATTTATCAAAAACTAAAAAAAACCTTGTAAAAGTTTTAAAAAAATTTGTTAATTTGAAATAATTATATATATTATGGTAAAAATAATAAAATTGTTTTAAATGTATGTCATCGGAAGATTATTTATAATAATTATATATATTTACTCATATTTAGCATATATATCATAAAAACAAATCTTATTCGATTTATCTATAGAAATTCTTCATTGAATAAATTTTTTAACAACTTATATTTATTCAAATAATTCGAATATTTTGTTTTTGAATAATATCTATTTATTGATCTGAAACTAAGAAAAACATTTTCAAACTCATTAAATTTAATAAAACACAAATATTTAAATAATTTCAACAAATAAAATATTGTTTTCTATTTTTTAAGATATTCTTCATAAAATAAAACAAAATATTCAATAATAATACATGTTAATAATCTTGTTTAAATAAAATTATTTTAAATAAATATATTCTCAATATATATATATATATAATTTATCAAATCTGTCAACAAGAACACTTTTTCCTGTGTCGTTGTCTACCATGAAATGTCTGTTGGCCAAGATAAATATGACAATGTAATCTGTACGACAAATTTGAAAGAATGATCTATAGAATTTTTTGAATATATTTAATTGTATAACTCATAATTAATCATTAATTTTTCGTTTCATTTGTTAACTTAATTTATTTTTATAAACATAAGATAAAAAAAAAATTTTTTTTTCGATGAAATAACTAATTAAAAAACTAAACAATTATCAATTTGATTTTTCATATAATAAAACACCTTCAATTAAAGTATTATTTTTCATAATATCAGTTCTCATTTGCGTTATCGAATAAATCTAATAATGATTGCAAAAATAATATATAATTATACAAAGAACGAAGAATTTAAAAAAAATATCTTGATAATAATCAATTATTATTATAAAAATCGAGGACATTTATACTTGATAAATTATTTCCATAAGAGCACAAACGAAATATTTTCTTATAGATTTATTTTCGATCTAAACAAATTATTGTTTCAGTCAATGTAAAGCTTCAAAGACTAAATTGACATTCGGTTAAAGCATTTATTGCCGAAAATTGAATGCATTTGTCAAAGTACTCGACAATAATAAGGCAATGGAGGGAGATTTAATTTTCGACAGCGTAAGAGCCAAGTAAACAAGTTTGGCCTGACATTAATTATTAGTCGAGACGGATATTTATATCGATGGATGATGTCAGAATAGTATTTCAGAATTTGATCTATCTTAGTAGCCTGTCAGACAGCTATCATCACCATTAGATTTCTAATAAAACAATGTCTATTAAGAAAAAAAAGCTAATTAGGAAGAAATTTTCTTTCTTTTGTACATTTGACATAATTAAAAATCGATTAAAATTTATTGGTAATTTTATTTTAAATAAACAATTTTATTCTTTTGAGCATACTTCAATTAACTTGAAAATATTTGATTTATTATATTACTATTCTTCAATAATTCGTTGTTATTTTTGATTTCAGAAAGAAAGTTATTTATATAAATGAATGTTGCTTCAATCTATTATATAAAACATTGTCAGACTGAACATGTTTTAATTAATTATGAAAAAAAATTTTTTTTTCTAATAGATATTTGTTCTATAAAACTGTCATCCTTATTTAATTTAATGTTAAATTTTTATATACGACCAAGTCACAAGTCAAGTCCAATATGACTTGACTTGTCCATTTCTGTACTGCAGTAAAATCGTATTAGATTCTAGTATATGCTATATTGAAAAATTCTGAAATAAAAATTGCTAATTGACCATCTGAATTGCCTTTAATTATTTACCAATGTGAATATAATTTAGTGATTAATTTAGATAAGCCGAGTATTTGGTATATAATAGGCATTTATTTTTAGATGCATTATCAATTTAATTAAGTATTAGTTTTATTCGAGATTAAACCATACGTTTCCTTTCATCTATTCTTTTTTTTCTCATTTCAATGATAAACATGTTGTCTGATGCTAGATAATGCTATGATTCCGCTCAATAGAATTGTTTACTATATTATTCGCTTGATCAAAGAAATCTCCAGGGAGATTGATGAAAAACAGAACAGCTGATTGTATGAATGATCATTGAAGTTAGACAAAAACAAAAATTTAGAAAGATGAACAATCAAGAAGAAACTAGTCGATTATATTTTATACCTTTAAATTTAAATAATAAATCTGTTTGGTATTTTATCTAATATATCTCGTCATCCTGACCATCATCTATCTAATAGTTATTCTTTGGTTATTGTTTTTGAAACAATTCGTATCACATCCGTTATTTGTTCAGTGTTAGGTATTTTGGGTAATATTTCTCTTATCTGTATCATTGTAAACACTTCATTTCATCATGTTAGTTACGGCTTATTTATAATGACCATTTCTTTTTTTTTGACATAATACGTCTTTTATTTGCAGTTTTTTATTATCTATTATTTGCTAATATTATATCAATAAATTTAATAACTGGAACAATATATATATATATTGCTATTGATCGATATCTTATATTTGTAGTTAACCTGTTGAATCCCGCTTGTCTTCAATTGAAGACAAGCAGAACGAAAGAATTTTTTTTTCGTTCTGTCGTGTCAATAACATATGTTTGGCGAGGAGAAAATGAATCGAGGAGAGGTCATATGTGCAATGGCGCTTATCATTATTTTTTTAACTCTGACATACGAGAAACTAACAAAGAAACTTTCTCCGATTATGCTTGAATAACGAAATTCCTTTTTTAGTTATTTATTGATTAGTAAAATCTCTTATTTCAGATCTAATTTGAAGAAGGACAAGAGCTAACTGGAAAATTAGGTCCAGTTTTTTCTTGGAAAGCTGGTAAGACTCGTGATATCTTGTCATTTCCAGGTTCAACTATTATCCATTGTCCATCGATACTTTGTCCTGAATTTGATGAGGAACTAGTTGAACGATTTGGATATATAACATCGTCATTACTACACAGCAAAAATACTTTCATCTGCCAAAAATCAAACAGAGTGAGATCTTTACCTATATTCTTCACTATCATAAATTTCTTTTTCATTATACAAAGCTTCATCCTTTTTTTCAACAGTGCCATAAGGATAGACGGTGTCGTCATCACTAGAGAGTAAATCTTGCTTTAGTCTATTAGTGTTGAATAGAATCAAATTATTACCTATACTCTTCACTCTCGTAATGAAGATTCGTATTGATTAATTGTTTCTCCACTTCATCAATTTCTGAATCTGATAAAGCCACCATAGATTTTTCCTCGTATTCACTATCGCTGCTATCGTCGAAAACGTTACGCTTCTCCATTGTAAATTTTGAATATAGTGATTTCTTACAAATATTCTGTCTCTTTCATCAGGTTTTCTCTTGTTCAAGGTCCACATAGTTTCTATTTCTTTCGTGTCGTATCAAGAACACACTATAAAGGCATTACGAGTCCATGTTTATAATCGATAATCTGTGACATATACATACAGCTGATTGAACGCGACAGAACGCAAGGGAGAGTGATTTTTTTATTTCTATCCATATTATACAGAACGCAAGAAATTATCGGGATTCAAGAGGTTAATTGGTGTAAGGGAAGAAAATTTTATATGAATTAAATATTTAAAACAGGAACAAAAAAATTTTTGTTCAATTAAGGTTCTTATGGCAATTGAATGTTTATAAACTGTTCGATATTGGAAACATCATACTCATTTAGACTGGCGTTCGAAACATAAACGTAAACAATATCGTCGATTTACTTATTCAATAATATTTATTCTTGTTACTGGTCTTATAAATCAACATCTAAATTATCTTTTAAAACGTTATGAATCAGTTCATATTAATTTTAAAACAAAATTCAAATTTTCTATATACCTATTATAAATTTAATGAAAATCTATTTACTTTAATATTTTATTTATTACTTGAAACAACAATGCCTATTTTATCTGTTCTATTAGTTAATATATTTCTTTTACGAGAAATTTGAAGATTACCTTTATCACTTCAAGTTAAAGTTAAAGAATCAATTGAAATTTTATTTTTTTTAAACATTTCTTTAGATTGCAATTCTTCCAAGAGTATTTATTACTTTTTATATTCATTATTTATCTAATAATACTAATACTAATATTTTTTTTTAAAAATCTATCTTTTTATTGTTATATTGATGTTTGATTGGTTTTGTTTTGTGATCTATAGGATTTGAAGCTTTTTAATCATTCAATAACAGGTTATGAATATTTTCTTTCATCGATATTACTTCGTAGTGAATTGAAGAATATCTACACGAGATATATTACAAAAAATCTTCAGTAATCATGAACATTTATTGATTTTCTGCTTTTTTTATACAATTTTATTTAAAAGATTTATTTATTCCATCTTAAAAGAATATTGTTCCATCAATATAAAAAAAAACGAAAATATTGAAAGAAGTTTCTCTTTCTATTCTAGACAATAACCAAGCAGAATGGTCATTAACTGATAATGTTGGTCATGTATCAAAATCGAATTTCTTATGTTGCTAATAATCGATTCAGCTATCATCAATGGATTTCGGTTCGAACTATATACACTTATATTTCATTAAGATGATGTGCCACTAATTCAAAACTTTATATTATCTATCATTTATAGACTCATGGTATGCTATATTTCTAAGAAAGATTTTTGTTTTACATCATTGAAGTTTTGACATTTTATTAGTTTTCGATTCACCAATTCTCTGAAAAATTCTCAATCCTCTTCCAAAAAAAGCTGTTAATTTTAGCAAAAACCATCGCGTCAGGCTTCTAAGTCATAAAGTTCCCTAATTTGGACGACTTTAGAGTACCTCTCTGAAGACAAGAGAAAAATTTTTCTTAGAAACATAATATAGAATCAACCTATAAAGAATACGCAATTTACAGTTTTGAGTCAACTATACGCAGTTAGAATGACGTCCAACTATCTGATTCGAATGGTGATCGACTCGTATTATTTGATTTAACCATTGAAGAAATAAGAAATTATTTCAAAAGGAGATCATTGCTACGTGTTTGTTTTTATAAATACTTAAAATTTCCCGTAGCTGAAAGAATGATAGCTACTAGGAAAGTTTTTTTCTATATATATTTTCATGTAAAAGCAATGCTTCAACAAATAATTATTTTAAATGTTATGCTTTATAGATATAAAAAAATCTATGTCTTTATTTAGGAAAAAAAATATTCAATTTTACTTTGCTAGTCGAAATTTAGCTACAGTTTGATCCTTCAAGATTTAAAACCGATTGAACCGAAAAACGAATTTTTTTCGAACTTAATTATAATTTATCAAAACTGATTGGATGTCTTTTTTGAATTTTCGAAATATTTTTATAGTTTATGGCCCCATATATACAATAGATAAAGGAGGTAATGAAGGTAAAAGAGCTAGTGAAAGTGACTAGGATGCATGAGGTACTGTAAAGAGACATACCCTCTATGACCTTCCGTGGCACTCACATCGAGAGAGCTTTCGATTCCATTTAATGTTTATTAAAAAACTATTTTATCAAGAATTCGATTTGTTTGAAATTGGAAGTTTTTCAAAATGAAGCCATCAAAAAAAATTTATTTGTAAAAATAAAATTGATCTTATTTACAAGTTTTATCTTTGAATTTTAACATTTTTGCTTTGTATTCGTTTTAGTATTTCTCTAGTGACATAATATATTCATTGATCTTTATAAAAAGAAAGTTCTATTTTTACTAGCATTTACATTTATTGACAATAAATGAATAATAAAAACATATAAAGATCACTAAAACTGTTGTAGTCATTTATGGAATGTACAAAAAGAAAAACACAGATAAAATTGTAAAAAAAAAAGTCATGTCACTGTAATATACTGGTTAAAAAAAATTCAGAATTAATATAATGAGAAAAATATAAATGAACAAGGACGGTATAAGTGTTGTTGCTGAGGCATAATAAAATAAAAATTCATCGACAATTTGCCAAGGATTTCGACCATCATCATAACGAATTGGACAATCATCATCTATTTGATAAATATAATATTCAAAAAAATTTAATTTACAAAAAACAAAGCAAACTTACGAATTCTTTCGGCTTCTTCAAGTTCAATTTTAAGATCAGCTCCATCTTGTGCTTCATAACTTTGAGATGTTTGATTGAAACCACAAAATGATCCAGCTGATCTTGAAAGATATATTTTAAATAAATCAATTCTTTCATAAACCCAACATTTAAAATTAATATATGGATCATCACGATCATATGTTATTAAATAAGAACGAGAATCTTCTCTCCAATATCCAGCACATTGATATATATAATCAGGTTGTTCATAAACACCAATTGGTGTTCCATATGGATCTAATTGTCGACAATATTCACGATCAGCAAACATTGATTTCGTTTGATCACCACATATTGTCCATTGTGATACCATATATTGAGGATCACATGTTATAAACCAACCATGATCACGTGGTCGAGGCGTTATACCACCACGAATTCGTGTTTGAATTAATGAATTTGGTTGTCCAACTT